TGTGTATTTAAAAATATTACAGTAAAACTAAAACTAAAACTAAATGTATAGTAAAACTAAAAATATTAATTATAACTTAATTAAGCCCTTAATAGTTTATTTTTAGAATAACATATAATAATAAATTGGGTTTAAATTTCTAAAACATTGCAAAATACACAAATAGATCATATCTTTTAAAATTGAAAACATAAATAAAATCATGAATTTCTAAGAAAATATAATTTTATTATGTACATTTTAAAATAAAGAATCTCATAAAAAATTTATTAAATTAAATTATAAATTCAATTTTATAAAAAAGCCCTTATACTGAATATTAATATTACATACAATTGTTTATTTAATTTAAAATTTATTTACCTAACAATTTATTTATATATTCAATAAATATATTTATTTATTTTAAACTATATATTAATTGCTTTCAATATATCTAAAATACTAATACCTTAATTCAAAAGAAAATTAGTATCTGGACAAAAGTACTTGATTACTAAATTATTGACAGTTTTAATTAAAATTTATAAACATTATTTATTATCTCTAAACGGAAATACTTTCTAAACTTAGATTTAAAGATAATAATAATCATTAAGAATAGATATCCGGAAGTTTTAATCAATAAATAATTTTCTATTTCTTACAGTTTTTGTTTTGAGATTTAAAAAACAAATTCTTAAGATTTTACAAAATTAAATAATAAATTATTGAATACACGGCTCAAACACATAGCGCATACAAACGTCAATATACTGTACAATTCATTACAGTATCTCTGACTCTAAAATATTTATTAAGCAATCGATTGTATTTCACTATAAGTGCAGTACATTTGAAAGCTCTTATACCCAAAGGATTAGCTCAAAGGTTTCATTACAGCAGTAGTCATTTCAACAGAAAATACAATCTTTTGATAGGTTTTATGTGTACCTCCGCTAAGAATATGTGCATAGTTTGAGACAAATGTTGCCAACAAAACACAAAATGAGATGAAAAACAAACTTTAATTTCCGAAACTCAATCTCTTCACTCAAATTCTATAAGAAATTTATGGAAATTAGGAGAAAATTGAAATTTTTATCAAATTTAATATATATTGCAATTTCCCAACTCATAAGTAATTGTCTGTTTATTATATTCAAAATATTTTAGTAGTGAGTTATTTTAAGTGTAAAATAATTGGTCAAATAATTGTCAATAATGGTACTAAAAAATCAATTATTTGTAAGCTTTGGTAATACTGTACGATAGAAGTGCTAACCATATAATCCTAATTCATGTCTAAATATAGATATAAATCTAAATAATCACTCAATTGTAAGAATAATACAGTAAAATAGATACATAGAAATCAATGAGAATATCAATAAAATAAAGTGTATTTATATAACAAAATATGACAATAGAAGTCATTAACGTATGAAATGATTATTTGAGAAAAATAATCCACTTTTAGATACATTCAATTCGCATGAATAATATATTATGTTTTTGTCGAGAAAAACATGTTTTATATTACTTGAAACTTTATATTATTATTAAAATAATTTCCTAAATAGTGAATGCAATCACAAATGATATTGTCATCAAATAGTGAGAATAATATTATAATCAGCATTTAAATAGTAGACAAACAGACCGTATATTTGATTGCAAACAAAGATCAAGAACTCTATTGTCCCATAAGACTAGTGCCTAATAACAGAGAATTATTGTATATTTATATCAATTACGAGTAAAACTAAAATTGAATGCAAATAAATAATTAGGAAATGAATGCGAATCTCAGGCTAATGGCTGAACAGCACCGGGAGGAGAGTGGAGCTAAAGTGATGACATTTTTATTAAGTGTGAGAAACAAAAGTTTTTTTTATAAGAAAAAAGGCATCGAAAACGCAAAGAATGATAACTCTTTTAATTAAACCTGGAAGCAAATGATTGACATTAATTGAATTCAAGACAACGTTACATGACATCAAAACCTAATATAAAGTAAAACATTATATTCTTTTAGCAAAAAACTCGATTACATTTCGTCTCATATGAAATAAAAGTCTTCATTTGTGTATCATTTGTATCACAAGTTAAGACACACAGCGTTTAACACATACTCCAGGTATTGATTATTTGAGAATTTATTCTTTCGACACAATATAACAAATTTAAATAACTATTAATTAAGACATTCACAATGAACAGCAAAAAAGACATGCATTCATCACTACATTTAAGTTAATTAATGAATTTTAAATAAGAATTCATTATAAATATGTATTTATATTCTGTAGAGAATATCAAGAAGTAGTCAAAATAGTAGTGTAAAATGGAGACATTAAATATGGTAAACAGGAATATTTCAGTTTATCATAGACAACAAATTAATAGACTATTAATATAGTACTTTTAGGACTACGGATACGTATATAATAAACTCTTATGGGTTATAAATGGCTTAGATTTTAATATTCTGCTCACAATTCAAATGACATTCTAGTCATCAGAATATTTATTATAGAAATGGCTTTAAAAATGAATTTAATGAGCAATGCTTTCAAAATAATATGTTTACTATTTAGAGAGCACTGGTGTATAAAATAAATAGTCTGACCATAAATTGAATTCATTTGATATTTAACAGTAATATGAATGCAATGAAGAGTGCATTTTAAGTGGTTTTTCGCTTTTATACGCTTAACTCTAACTCTATCCTAACATTCATTAGTAGATCTCATTTCACATAAATGCACAAAAAATTTACTTTAATTTTAAGTTCAACTCATTTGAGTACAGAATTAATTGTATATAAAATAGCAATTAATTGCTCGGAAGTGTAGGCCTGGACGGCGAGACTCTAACAATTTATGACACAATTTAGTGGAAAATTGTTTTGTTGAACAAAATATGATAGCGAATAATGACTGCAAACATCACCAGTATGTTTGACAATAGTGTCGGACTCTATGAGAGAGTATCATCAATTCTATCACCCTGGTATAATTACTGAATAGATTTAAATGATATTTGAATTTCAAATTTTGAAAACAATTTTATATTAAATATAGATTACCTCTTTTACTAACCTTTAATCCATATAATCATTATTCATAGAATATTCCTACTATGTATAACATGTTTTCAAATAACATTCATTAGTGAAACTTATTTCTCATATTTATTAACATCTTAAGCCCTGATGATGGTCACAGTGATGACCGAAAACGTTTGGCTATTATCTTAATTTTATTTTTAAGACATTTTCACTGATACTACAAATAAATATTGAAAACTCAAACTTTAAATGTATAACATGCTTACTAAACATGTAATCATACATACTGTATGTATAAATTCTATAAATGGATTACAATGGTTAACTTGATTGTGACTCCAAAGAAATAGATTTATTTATTTATATCCCTCTAATTGTAAGTAAATTATGTTTAGAATTTTGATTAAAACATTTAAAGTTTGAAAGGAAATACTTTAAAAAGTGCGGAACAATGTTTTAGATTAATATAAACCGTTTATTCAGTAAATGTAGCACATAAAAACAATATAAATGTTATAATAAATTGCTAATTAAATTCAATTAAATTTAACTAATATTAAGGATGTCTAATAACAAGACATCACTGACCCCATCCTCATAGGAATCACATAATTGAACACATATTGCGAATACGAGTGCCAATGATTTGGACGTACATTAGGGGCACATATCTGTCAAACTGAGCCTGGAAGAAGTTGCCGGCTATGGGCTCACCCAACCCGTGCTTACGAGCAAAATCACGTGTTTTGAAACCACGGCGCCCCGGTAGTGGACTAATATTAAGAACACCCGATTGTTTGTATATCGTAAATATATACCGATGTAAACCACAACCCGGTGGGGGTCCCGCACCCACATAATCGTTTAAAGTTTGTCCTGACTGTATATCGAGCCCCGGTATGTTGACCACAAGCCAGTGGTTGGCCTCTCCGTGCTTTGGGTTATAAGGATTGTTGCGAACGGGCGCATCCGGGTCTGTCATAATCAGGGTATATAAGACACCCTCTTCTGTGGTCCACCGGAGGTCTGGGATGTCTTTAACGTGTTTGGGCTCCAACTCATTTCCCATAGAGACCGTCTGTCCACCCGGGTATGTAATCTATATGATACGAATGATTACTATAGTTAAAATTATTATTATTTTTGATATACAGACATTATATAAGCCTTATGCTATATGAAATACCAAGGTCTAATTTAATATTTAATTCTTTGTTACATTCTAAACATTGACAGTAATATTCATAGAAGTTAAGTACTTATAAAAATAGTTTCAAAATGAACAAGTATCGATATATAACTTCTAATATTGCCCAGTACTAAATAAAATAATATTGTCAAATAATTTATACAGCAATTATAATAGGAATGGGTGGTTAACATAATGAACTTTATATAAAACTTTTTTAACATTAATATAACTTAAATGAAATTTATTTGTTTTCATTGTTTCACATAACAGTCATTTAGACTTAATAAAAGGATGTATAATTAAATTTACTTAAAATAAAAAATGCAAACCTCGATAACATTGGGCGGAATGACATCGAGGACATCGGGCACCACCTGATGCTCTTCCATACGCTTACTGTATGTTTGATACTTAATACTGAATCACAAATAAAGAGAGAGAGAGAGAGAGAGAGAGAGAACCTAATTCTGAACACTTTATATTTATTTTTGTCGCAAATTTGAGCTTTATATAATATTGAGGCGAAAAAATAAATGTAAATTTGATGTTAACTTAGACTAGACTAGTGTATCGAAGCGTTATTTGCATTGAAACTCATATTCAGTGTTACGCCTCTGTAAACACATTTAATTTTTGCTTTCGTTTTGTAATATATTCTTTAAAAGATGATTTTTATAAGCAATATAAATGTGAAAATGAATTTGTCAAGCATGTGTTGTCATAATGATGAGCACCGGGCGTGCGATGGAGTCCAGTTATGTTTTTAGATAACACTTTAAGCTAATACTCAATTCTGTTATGAGATTTGTTTCAATCGATTATATTTATAATTTATTGTCGTGTTTAATACAAATAAAATATTTGTGTTGACATTATTATCTTTCATAGAAACTCTATTGAAAAGCTATAAATCTACTATAAACTTATTTAATATGAATCAATTCTATCAATACTATAATCAATTATAATATAATACCAATGCATCATTATTTAAACAAATGACTAGAGATTTATTTCATAAATTATAAAGTTTGAAGCTTTACAAGTATTTATTTATATCTGTATGTAATACCTTATACTCTAGGAAATTTAATTAAAATTTTATTAGTTTTTATGATTGGAATAATATGAAAAATTATATATTAAAATAAAACTCTAGTGTTACTTAAGACTACAATAATTATATTATATATAATATTATGTTAGAGATTAATAAAACAGAGTAATGTATGAAAGTTTTTATGGCACAAAATATGAAAAATGTGATAAAGTGCTTATTTCCATGAATACATATTTTCATTATAATTGAAACACAATATTATATATAAAAACGTCAAATATCTTTCAATACTTCTAAGACTCAATTATCATAATTTATTAGATATCTTATCACACAATATCATAATATTTTTAAAATATGTAATTTACGTATACATATAAATTATACACTTTCTTACATTTCCCTCAACTATTCATTAAATTCTGAAATTTGATATTTATTTGTATTTCATTAAATATAAAATATTCTTTTAATTATTATTTAGATTTAATGTTAAATGTATTCCCAAAACGTGTGAATCGATAAAATAAAACTCAAACTAAAAGCTAAGAAAATACTTGTTTATAACAAATAGTTGCGTAACCATATTATAGAAAATCGTAATTAAATTTAAAATTTAAATCAAGTATTACTGTTTATCCGTCTTATTGTGCGCCACAATGTTTCCAAACATCATATATTTTAATGAACTAAAAGATAAAAAGATAAAAATATCTTTTAGTCAATATTTACAATAACTTTCGAGAGAGAGAGAGAGAGAGAGAGAGAGAGACTAATAACAATGAGTATCGATGGCAACAATTTGTTCAGAGCC